ACGATAAGCAGCAGGACCTATAAAATTATGCATGTTTTTTCTTCTTCAAATTTTAGTTGGTCACGTGTTCTTTCAAGAAAAGCTGGCCCGTTTAGTTGCCACCTTAACCCTCCCCCCCCTTAAAGCTTGTCTCACTAACCAGAATGTGGTAGAGTGGAATTCTCTTTTCATACAATTTTTGTTTAATCACACATACAAAGTATTGGTGTAAGTTGCATTCAAAAACTATGTCAATTTCACATTAGTAGTACTCTATTTTATTTTATTTTTTTATTTATTTATTTTTTTTTTAATTTTTAAAGCCCACTCAGAGTTTTTCCTAATTCTTACTACTAGATCTCGAGTAGCTTCCTTTTCTTTCTGCAAAACTGTCAGCTGTCTTCTATCCAAATCCACATGAAATTTGCTGTGACATGTGGCAGAAGCTTATGATCTGAAGCCCATCCCAAGGGTGAAACAATGTTAAGTGCTAAGCAAATGCAACAAACCTCAACCACATATATCCTAGCAAGACAGGAGCTTGTATGGGTTCCCTATTGGACAATGAACTGTTAGGTAGATGAACAGGTCTATCTTACTAGAAAATATATATATACAGCAATAAGCCACATCCTGCAGGCAGATTCAGAAAATCAATCAATTTACAACAGATAGTATTTACTGAATGTGGCATTGAGCAGTTTTAAAAGCCTTGGAAGTGCCACTGCTATCTTGCAGTTATCAGAGTTCCTGCAAAAAAGAAAGAAATTGCAACAAAGAAAATACAGGAATTCTTCATGTTCCTGAAATAGCAAGTCGTTTCCAGGTTAATTCAAAGCAACTCACTCACCCCTCCCTCCCTCCCTCCTTCAAATTCATATTGCATGGTATATCTTAAAACAAGGATTATTTGCCCCCAACCCCCCCAACCCCCACCTGATCACTTTATTTCCCTATTGGAGGCTCTGTCTCAAGACTCCAACCTCATTGCTATGGACTTACTCTCTTACTCTATTTTCTTTATATCTAATATTACTCCTTGCCTGCACAGATTATTTCATGTAAATGTAAAATTAGTTTTTCCTTTTCTTGATGATAGTGTCATCAGATTTTCTCTATGTTAGTCAGTCACTATGTAAATGTATACCAAAGTATTACATGTTGCACAACTTTATTCTCATCAATTTGTAAAGATAATAGATTTTGGTTAATCTTTATGGTATGGGTACACTAAGCTAGGGCAAATTGAAAATGATATTCTTATTAGGGAGAAAAAATTGCAGTCGCCGGCACAGGAACGGTAATGCCGCAAATGAAGGAAAAAAGATCATGGAAGGCACAGCTCCCTGCCTAGGTCTAGTTAGCACTCCCTTGTTTTAGCTCTATCTTGCCATGCATACCTTGGTGAAGACAATGTTTCCCAGAGGGTGTTGGAGGGCAGAAACCACATCGACTCTCCCCTCGGATGGGCATGCCCCAGTCGCGCCAACTTAGATTACTGAATAGATTTTATGATGTAGAGTTAGGGACTTAGTCTCTTGGGAGTTTACCATTAGGCTGAGTGAAACAAACTATAAATCAAATCAATCTTTTGAAAGCCAAGCTATGCCCACTGTCATTTATCAAAGACACACTCACCATGACTCAAGTGCTTGTCATGGTTACTGTGCAGTACCAGCAATGGTAACACATTTCCATCACACACACCAAGACTGGCATCTCATGCCCATCAGCCAGAGATAGAGGGAAAGAGACATCTTATATATCATAAAAAATAGAGGGTTATGTTACCGAGAGCAACGCACAAAGATAGAGGGAAATGGACGTTGTGATCTTATAGAGCATAAGAAATTGAGTAAAAGACAACACAGGCACAGCGGCCTCATATTTACCGCAAAATTACGAAAATATCAGCTGCTTGTCACCCCTCAGAGACTCCACAGCACCCTCACACAGTTCTTCATGTTGCATTTTCTGTAATTGGGCATGAAGTGCTAATAAAGGGGGGGAGGGGGGGAATACAGGGAGCTTGCCCCCATCTAGGGAATAAATAGAAGGTAGGAAAGGTTAGGTTTGGAATTTTGGGTTTGTATGACAGCCTGGTTTTGGGACTTTGTCTCCGTAGGGTGCGTCACTCTCGGTAACAAATACCGAACAGAGTAATGAACAACACAGGTTCAGCTGCTTTGGCCTCATATTTGCTGCGAAATCCACAAGACCTTCAGACAACTGAAGTTCTTGATTTTTTTTTTTTTTTTTTTTTTGTAAATTGGCACAAAGTACTAAAAGTGCCCCCCCCCCTCCTTGGGAAATAAATAGAAGTTAGGAAGAGTTAGATTTAGATTTTTAGGTCCGCGTGATCCCTGGCTTTGAGACTTGGTGCCTGGAGGGGCGTGTTTCTCGGCAGCAAGCACCTCGCTCTCAAACGCACTCGATAACCAATATGACCTGAATTCCTTACATCACATCTAATAAAAGTCTAAAAACCAAGAGAAAAAAAGACTAAATTCCCTTAAATTCGGTGTCACACGAGTCTGCAATGCGAGCCGAGCGTGATACCGAGCTGCAATGTTGCAATTTTCGCGTAA